GGGAGGTGAATGGATTTGGCAAGAAAGAAGTGGCTGAAGGAAACTAGAAATAGGCGTCCTGTTCTGACCTCGGAGATGTTTAGGGGATTAGAGTCCAGCTTAGTGTCCTGAAAAGAGGAGCCTTGGTGACGAAGGAAAGGGAAAATTAGGACCCAGGGGCTTGGCCCCTTGCCTTCTCTGGAGGAGACATTTGCCTTGGCATTGCAGGAAGGTCTTGATGTGAGTCCCAGGCAAAGCATTTGGTGAGTTTCCTGGGATCCTGGAGACATGGGAGGTGGTGAGTCACCAATGCTGGAATTCTGTGAGTGACCTGTTCCAGCATTTTGTTCTGAGGTCTTAGAGTAGGCTATACAAATCATCTGTTCTATCTGTCCAGCATCCGTTCTGGATAGACAGGAACTTGTGCCTCAGCTTCCTGGTGAGGTATACAAAGAAGTTTGCTCATGTTTCAGAGCAGATGTCCCAAAGAAGTTACTGTTGGGTTGTGCAGGCTGTATAAGCAGTGGCAACTCAAGAATGAGCCGCCGTCTTTGTCTTGGGTGTTCTGTTTTATCCACTGGTGTCATCATTAATGAGCAGCTGGTGATTCAGTTCAGCACACTTGGAGTGAGACAGAACCTCATCAGAGTCCTCATCCACAGCCCTGGCAATAACCCTAGAGGGAGTTTGTGTAAATTAGATAACCCTTGGGGAAAAGTATGTCCTGCCTGATGTCCTTCCGGTTGGTCCTGCTGTTGACTAGCAGTCTGGCTGTGTAGTGGAGGAAGAATCATCCTGACACAGACCTTCATGACTAATAAAACTGTTTTCTCAGAAAATGATTATAGTTCAACTCTGTTGGCAGCTGTATTCAATCATTTGAACCCCGAAAGCAGGAATGAAACTGGAGAAGCTCCCTGAAGCCTATGCACTGCTAGGGTTCTGTATGCAGAGCCCTCAAAGGGCTACGGTCACCTTTCTGTGCTTGTCTGCAGCACCAGTCTCTTAGCTGATTGCCTTTCTTTCTCTCTCTTTATCTCCCCCTCTTTTTTTTTTTTTTTTTTTAACTAGGTACCAGGAATTTTTTGGCGGGAATGGGGGGGCAAGGTGACCTTATATAAAGGATTGCTGGCAATAAGAGAAATCCTATTAAATCAGCTAAGATCATGGTGCATGAAAGAATACTAGAAACAGTTTTTCATGCTCTAAATTTTTAGATATTGCTATCCTTCAGCTGTTTTTTAGATCTGAAAGTCACTGTAACTGTTGTCCAAATAGCATTTGACAGAAATGTTGGTTTGATTGATAAATGTTAGTGCTGTGGTAGCTGGTTCTTTAAGATGCGAAACCTTCTATCTGTTCTCCACTGATGTTACTTATTCTAAAATTTCACTCTCCTGAAACACTGTTCATTCAGAATACACTTACTGTATGTATACCTGCCTGCTTTAGGCATTGCCACCACTACCCTATCCCACCAGGTTCCAGGTATTCAAGTGTAAAACAAATCAACTTCTGTGGAGCTTGTACTCAACAAACCATTGAAAGGGATTACTCCCATCCATGGCCCCTTAGATTGAGGAATTCAAAGGAAAACCAGCTTGTTTAGTAGCTGTTGGAAAGATTTAGAAGGAAGAGGGTTGAGAGGGGAGGGAGAATAGCAAGTATCGTTATTTCTTAAAACTATGGATATGAAATTTGTTTCCTTTCTGTAAGTAACATTTTTTTTCCCCCAAATGTTTAGAAACCAGTTATAGGCTTTGGACTCCATTCATTTTTTTTTTTAATTAATTTATTATTTTTTCTTTTTCCATATAGACTGGGATTCCCCTCAACAGATTTTCTCCATTTTACTACAATGGTATAGTCCTTCGTAAGGAATTATAATTCCATCAGTCTCTTTAAGTGTACCCCGACATTGCTGGTACAGACAATGTCAGCCCAGCATCCCATTGTCTACACATACAACAGTTTCATTGGGAATCCATCCTTCGTCTGGAAGCAGAATGCGCGTTGCATTATACCCTCACATCTGGATATGTAGACCCCAAAAAGGGGAAGCTATGAAACAGAGTCAACAACTGGTATGAGTTAGAACAATAGCCACAACAACAGCAAATTACAGCACCATGAAAAAAAAGCACCACTGAGTAACCAATAAATGGATGACAAAAAGGAAACACAAAAGTCTCTTGGGAAAAATGATGCCACCATGTAATCCATGAGCCAGCAATGAATTTGACAAGAGAAAAAGTATTTGGAATAAATAAAACTGAAATTTAAAAAAACATGAAAACACATAGGATGCAGCGCCCCCCCCCCCCGAAAAAACAACAGTATGGATTGGATTATTGAAGTTACACTTTCCATGCTGGCTTCCTTATATAAGAGAGAACATGTGGCATTTGTTCTTTTGTGATTGACTCATTTCAGTTAGCATAGTGGTCTTTAGTTGGGACCACCTAGTTGCAAATAGTATAATTTCATTCTTAATAGCTGAGTAATATTCCATGGAGTAGATGTACCACAGTTTCTTTAACCACTCTTCCTTGGATGCACATCTGGATTGTTTCCATGTCTTTGCTATTATAGATTATCCCCTTCTCATATGCAGATTTCATTTCTATTGGTTATATTCATAGGATAACTGGGTCATATGGCAGATTTATTTGCAATTCTCCAAGCACTCTCCATACTCATTTCCATAGTGGTTGTACTAGCCTACACTCCCACCAACAGTGAAGGAGGGTGCCTTTCTCCCCACATCCATGCCAACAGGTAGTTGTTAGTTGAGTTCTGAAGGTAGGCCAGTCTCACTGGAGTTAGGTGGTACCTCGCCGTGGTTTTCATTTGTATCTCTGTTATGGCTAGGAAGCCTGAGCATCTTTTCATATGTCTGTCAGCCATTTGAATCTGTTCTTTTGATAACAGTTTTTTTTTCCCCCTGTCCCTGGGTTTCTGAAGCTCTTTGTAAATCCTGAATATTAGTCCCCTATCACTTGTGTAGCGTGTTGGACTTCATTCCTATGCCAATCCCAATATATGTGAAGCATATTAGGCATTGGAAAAGAAGTTAACTCAAAGAAACCCCTTGAGTATGGTTGAGATCTCTGCATCAGCCAACTGGTTTGGGTTTCTTAGGGTCCCATGGATCACTCTTAATTCTCTCAAGTTGATGTTTTTATTTTGACTGGGCCCAGGTCACCTTCCCTCAGCCTGCTGCACTCTAGGAGCACAGTACACCAGATCCAGGTGCCCACAGCACCTGTAGGACCCCAGTGCCACCCTGTCCTTTGTTAAAGTCCTGCGGATCCTGTACACTAATCACTCTGTGTCCTTTATTAACAAAATCAGTGATGTTGGACTAAATATAAATGGCTTCAAATTTGCTGTCCATCCTGGGCAATTCGTATGTTTAAGGCAATTCAAAAACCAAGAGACATTCTGTCCCACCAGATCGATCAGGCTAAGTTGGTACCACCAAGGAGCAGATTGCTGAGGGTCTAGTCTGAAACCTTCTACTGTAATAAAAAAGATGCATCGTCTTCAGAAAGTTCACAGAAAGTCTGATGATAAGAAAATTATATGGGTTTCAAGAATTTAAGATTCCAATTGAACTTGTCTTTTAATTCCATTTTTTTCATCTGCTTTTTTGTGTACTCTTCTGCAAATGACAACAAAGAAAGTGCTGTGCCCTGAGGGCCAGAAGCAGAAGACAGTTCTAGAACTTGAAAGTTTTGGGAGAAAGGGATGTTCCAGTCCTTTTCCCTCACAGATACACTGAAAAATGCTTGAAGAAGATGAAGGAAGAATTGTGCCTAGTGATGCTTTGTTCCCTAGTGGTGCTGTCCTCTTGGTAGGGACCAAAAAGGTGTTCTCTGATTAAGTAAATGAACACTTATTTGTATCAGATTGCAGCCAGCGACCCAGGAAACTGGTTGAGCGATGTGGACTGGGCTGTGGATGAAGTGACCTTGTTCAGAACTTGCCTACGTGTGCTCTGTAGGAGTGTGAGACCGTTCCCAGAGGAGCTGAACCTTTGAGTGCATCCCGGATTCCTAAATGAATGACATCTTTGTCTGTTTTGTTCTGAGTTGCAGGTTCTGCTACTGTTATCACTCAGATTCTTAATACTTGGGCCCTGCTTATAATGAAAGTGATCCGTACCTTTGCCTTTAGTTTTCTCTGCCATGGGTGGCAAGGGATGGATTTTTAAAATTTTTTTTCTGTTCTCTTCATCAGAGAATTTTAGGGCAGGACACGGCACAATGGTTCAGTGGCTAAATCCTCACCTTGCACACGACAGAATCCTATATAGGCACTGGTTTGTGTCCCAGCTGCCCTGCTTCCCATCCAGCTCCCCTGCTTGTGACCTGGGAAAGCAGTAGAGAATGGCCCAAAGCCTTGGGACCCTGCACCCGCGTGGGAGACCTGGAAGAAGCTCCTGGCTCTTGGCTTTGGATCAGCTCAGCTCCAGTCACTGTGGCTGTTTTTCCTAACCAGAATACAGAAGATGTTTCTCTCTGTAAATCTGCTTTTACAGTAAAAATAAATCTTAAACTTTTTGTTTTTTGAAGGCATGTGGAACAAAAAGTGTTTTTTGGGTTTTTTGGTATATGCATGTTGGTCATGATATGCTTCTAACTCTGCATGTCCCTGTTCAGCCACCTGACCATTTCCAAGCAGTTCTGTCTTATTTTGTTCATGAGAGGCCTTTGCCAAAAGGGAACTTTAATTCTAACTTGGAGACCAACAATTAAATGTTCTAAGTAGCTATGGTTTTGTTGACAGTAGGTTTGCAGTAGGTGGGTGTCGGCAGTGCCTCGGGGCTCCTAGAGGCTCTGGGGATGAGCACCGGGCTGACAGGTGTTCTAGTCTCTTTCCTTGGCAACTTTATCTGTAAGATGCCCTGTTCTGCTGGTATAGTTGACTCCCAGGCAGAGCTGTTTATGTGGTGTAGCTGGAACCTGTGACTTTCATTCACTTTACCCTTTGTTTTTTGCTTCCTTCTGTCTTCTCAGGTGGCATTGGTAGGGTGGTCAACGGAGCCTTCATGGTGCTGAAGGGACATCGTTCTATTGTCAACCAGGTTCGCTTCAATCCCCACACCTACATGATCTGCTCTTCCGGCGTAGAGAAGATTATCAAGGTGAGATATCGTTATGTCCTTTTAGAGAAATTACTGTAATTCCAAGTTACAGGAAACTAGAACCACGTCTGTAGAACCTCATAACTAGGCATATACAAGACCTCTTAAAATTCAAGAATTTTAGCATGTTGCAAAATTCTGGAAAGTTGCCCAAAAAAAGATGACTTAAAGCCCTCCTTTCAGAGCCTTTTAAAATGTTCATTAATTTATTTTCATCTACTTGAAAGGCAGTTAAAGAAGGAGTAGGGGGAGAGCCAGAGAGTGTGAGAGATGTCTTCCATCCTGTAGCAGGCCATGCCAGCACACGAGCCAGAGACCCCCTCTGGGTCTTTGACATGGGTGACAGAGGCCAGGCACTTAAACCGTCATATGCTGCCTCCCTTCTTTTCCATGTCTTCTTTTAGTTTTTGCAGTAACATGCTTTAGATTTACATTTTAATAAAAAGACCTGATACTTCACCATTTTACCAGACAAGTTTAACAAGTAAAAAGCAGAAAGACTCTAATTTAGAGGGAATAACGACAATGGCCATTATCATTATTGAAAAATGACCCATATGCAGTGAACTTTAAAGTAATCACAGGTTGCTAAAACTATGTCAGTGTAACATTCTTAATGACTGTTTTGACAAAGGTATAAAAATTTCACAAGACTGTTTGCAGCAGTGCTGAAGCACACGGCCTTTTTTTTTTTCCTTCTGGGTCTGGCTTATTTCATTGAGCATGATGTTTTCCAGTTGTGTCCATTTTGTCTTTGTTATAGCTGAATAGTATTCCATTGTGCATATGCACCACATTCTCTTTATCCTTTTATCTAATCATGTACACTGATTGATTCCAAATTTTGGCCATTGTAAATAGTGCTGCTCTAAGCATGGTGGTGCCAGTGCCAGTATCTCTTTACTGCAACATATTCATGTCTTTTTGGGTGTAAACGCAATAGTGTGATTACAGGATCATGAGGCAAGTCGATTCCAGAACCATTTTTTAACCTAGTCACTCAGCTTTGAAAGCAGTGTCTTCTAGGGTGCTGCCTATATACTATTGCATTTTTATCTTTGCTTTTTTTTTTTAAGATTTTGTTTGTTTAACAAGGCAAAGTAATAGAGAGAACTAGTTCAGTTCTCAAATTCATGTAATAGCCAGAACTATGCTAGTCAGAAGTGAGGAGGCAGAAGCTCTTATCTGGGTCTGCCACGTGGATGGCAGGAACCCAGGTGTGTGGGCCGTCACTATTGCCTTTAGGTGCTTCAGTAGGAAGGCTGGATTGGAAAAGGAGAAGCTAGGACTTGAACCAAACACTCTGAAATGGGATGCAGGTATCTCAAAATTTCTGGTGGCAGGCTAGCATTCTATACCGTGACATGGTCCCTTGCCTTCAATTTTGAGTATGATGAGTTCCTCATTCCTAGCCTCTGCTGAAAGTTAGGAATGCCACTATCTTCTCACCCATGCAGTGTGCATTTTATATTCATTGCTGCCCTAATATGTTGCAGGCATAATTAAGTGACTGTCGGAACTATAACCATGAATTACCAAATTCTGTCAAAACCCCATATTGATTGTGAGTGAAGCTTCATTGATTGAATACTAAATACTGGCACCAGCTTCACATTGGATGAATGCACTCTCCTCTGTTGAGAAGTATTTTCATAGCTGCGACAGACCCCCCAGACCTGTGTTCCCAGAAGCGTAGCTCACTGCCCCTCATTCCTATTCCCATTGCTAGAAACCTTTTCTTCACGTCTGAGGAAATAAGGGATCAAGGTCAGTGATGAATTCTTGAGGATAGAAGATATTCTCCCCCAAAGTTAAGCTGCTTGTTTCTTTTTTTTTTCCCCCTATTCATTTATATATTAATTTATTTGAAAGAGCAACGGGGGTGGGGGACAGATGATAAGTTTTCCATCCTCTAGTTCACAGGTCAGATGGGTACAACAGCCAGAAGTGGGCCAGGCCAAAGGCAGGAGCTCCATCCTGGTTTCCCATGTGAGTGTAGGGGCCCAAGCACTGGAACCATGTTTTGCTGACTTCCTGGGCACGTTAGCTGGACACTGGATTGGAAGCAGAGCAGACGGGCCTCAAAAGGACGCTCTGCATATGTCAGTCACAGGCAGCAGCCTGACCACCAAGCACAGCACCAACCCTCAGGTTTTTGTTTTTAATTAAAATGACATTGAAAAGCTGAAAGGCTTCAAAAAAAAGTAAAAATTCTGATTTTTGTGATGAATCAGTATTTCATTTTCTTTCCTTGTTCTTCATGATCCAGAATTAAATAGAGTTTGATGGCAAGCAGCAGCTATGAGAAGTGTACTGTTGATATTTGGTCATTGTTTTGGGCTGTGTGTGTCAACTTTGTGTGTGTGTGGCACCTGAGGACCAAGACTGATGTTCATAGCTGAAAGGAGAATCCCAGATCAGTTTTTTTAGCCAATGTTTTCTTCTTATAGATATTTAAGTGACCAATTAGCTGTCTGAAGTCACACAGCTAATTAGTGGTCACGCTAGGATAGAGGCCTGATGTTGGCTGTGCCAGTGGCCCGCCGTGTCTTGTAGCATGTAGCCTGATACCCCTGCCACATATGGTCACTCAGGATACTTCACTTGGGCAGTCCCTGAAATGGCCCTGTCGCTTACATGGCTTTTCCTTCTTCCTTGGCCTGTGACTAATAGGTTGGCACAGTAACATGTCCTCTCTAGGCCCGCTGACGTCATGTTGTCTCAGAGAGCTGTCTGCCGGGGCATCTCCTTTAGAAGAGAAATTCCTGTTTGTCCGTGCACTCTGGGATGCTTCTGTGCTAAATCTCCCCAATTATTGTTTAGTTGACTGCAGTCTTCACCCTAAAGGTCATAAGTTGGAAACTAGCCAAGTTCTCAGAGGAGAAAGAGAAGAAAATGTTTTCCCTCTGAGGTTATCCAGACAGAAGTATGAGCTCACTGCTGCCAGGTTCCCGTGGGATCTGAATCCTGCCCCATCAGGAGGCAGATTTAGCCACTCAAGCCTTAAGTGTACAGATGGCCATGGTGACGGGAAAGCAGGAAGCTCTGGAGTGCTTCACTTCGCTCTCTCACAGGTTTCTTCTTCCAAGAACAGGCCTTCTTGGGAACAGTGTTACAGCCTTACAGGAAGGGAGGGGAGAAGATGAAGGACGAGACCAGGTGGGAAGCTGGCTGCGTCTGTGTGCTGGAATGCCTTCCTTGGCATGGGTTAACATCAGCCTGAAGGGCCACCAGGCCTCAGCACCCTGGGCTCTGTCTCCCAGTTGTAACATGTGGATTATCTACTCGGGAGGCTCTTGTCAGTCACTCATATCTGACGGTTTCTGGTTATTTGAGCAGATGTCACTCTCCTGCTTGTTTCTCAGAGGACCTGTAGTTCAGAGAGCATCCCGTGCCTTGTCTGAGGCCCACCTCCTCTTGCGGGTCCATCCCGTCCTTGTCCTGCCCCTTGCTGCCTCCCTTCTAGCTGGGGGACGAGTGCCTGCTGCCAGGGCCAGACTCCTGTGGCTCACAACACATCTGCCTCAGTGAATGGCCACACCTTTGCTCTGGGCTAACCCTGATGGCTGAGGGGAAAGAGCTGGACAAGTTCTGACTTTTATTTTCATCCAAAGATCAATATTTGCTTATTCACTTCCTATTTTTGATATGCTTATTGTGTGCTATTTGTACTGGGCCCAGAAGTGAAGACAGAGGCGAAGAAGGCGCCCCTGCTCCCCATGCAGGAGACCCCAGTCAGTCTGGAGGTTCCGGACTTTGGCCTGGCCCAACCCTTTCCATTGCAGCCATTTGAGGGGTGAACCAAAAGATGGATAGTCTGTCTGTCTCTCTTTTTTCTTTTAAATAAATAAATATAAATGTCTAAAAGAGAAAGAAAGAAAGAAAGAAACAAAGAAAGAAAGAAAGGAAGGAAGGAAGGAAGAAAGGGCTATGAGAAAAGTGTAGTGTCTCTTCTGGAATCATCTCTTTGATACATTGATAATGAGCCAGGTTGTCAAGAGTAGATAGACTTCAGAAGGAAAGGGGATAAAGATAGGAGAGACATTTGAAGTAGAGGGTCAGCATGTTGATTCACCACCCTCTGTGTGCCAGGCATTGTATTCAGAAGCAGCCCAACCCAGGAACTGCTCCTGATACTACCATGCTTGTCCAAACTGAAGAGGAGCGGAAGGGAGGCTAGGAGAGGCTGAGGAGCGGAGCTGCCAGACAGGGGTTTCCAGAAGGGGCCGGGGAGCCGTTGGATTGCAGTCAAGGACCTTATCTGTGCAGTTGTTTTCTGTAGATAGATCCCCTTCTAAGTTCAGGATAACAGTGCCAACAGTGAAAAGGGCTGGGAGCTAGAAGGATGCCGTGGCCACCTGTGTGGCTCAAATGTCTGTCTGTTAATTGCTTCTCATTTTGATGAGCTTTGAACAAGAACTGAACTGCTTACCCTTTTCTCATACCCTCTGAATTAAACATTCTGCTGAGCTTGGGGAGAAAGCAGCTCATCCCTTCCCTTGCCCTCAGCCTGCCCCGTGATGAGGCATGGCTAGCATTTCTAGCTGTATTTAACAAGAATAAGAGAAAGTTGTTTCCATTGCTTCACTTTGGAGTTGTCGATTTTCAGAATGAAGGAATGAACAATTTTACAATCTTTCAAATTACTGTTTTAAGGGTGAGGACCTAAAGCAATAGGAATAATGAATACTTTTGGTGTCCAAAAGTCTCTCAGAGGGTAGCTCTAAAAATTTCTGATTGGGGCCCACATTGTGGCATTGTGGATTAAGCTGCTGCCTGCAGTGCAGAATCCTCTAAAGGCTAGGTATAGGATGTATCTACTAATGTATCTAGAAAAGCAGCGGAAGATGGCCCACGTTCTTGGATCCTTGCACCCACGTAGGAGACCTGGGTAAAGCTCCTGGCTTTACCCTGGCCCAACCCTGACCATAGAAGAGCCTTTTCCACACTCTATCACTGTGCTTTTCATATAAATAAAATCTTAAAACACACATGCGCACACACATACACACACAGGTTGAAGTATTCAGTTGCCAAAAGGAAGAGAATTCACTGCGTGGATTGGTGTTTGTTTCACTCCATCGGTCTGATTTTGACGGGTGACAGACTTTTCAAGAGCGCAGTCATGTGTTCAGGGCCATGGGCAGTGGTGGGCCTGGGCTGCTTCCCCTCCGTGCCTGCTCCTTCAGTGCTGCACTCCCAGTCCCTTGAGGAGTGACATGGCCTGGGATCTAAGATTGGATGAGATTTATCTAACCCACTCATCTCTGGTCTCTAGCTTACCAGGAGCTGAGTGGGAACCCACACTTGGTTTCCTGCCTGCCTCCGCTGCTCTTTGTTCCATTACTCCAGCCCTCAGGAATGAACAGTCCACCTCAGCTTCATACATTCCAGAGCCCAAATACAAGCCAACTCTCTGTGTTGGGATTTTCATTCCTGAAGTGAAGATGTGGGAGGCCGGCTGGATAGTGAGTGACCTGGTAGAATCTTCAAGCCAGCCACTGAGGAGTTAACACAGCATCTCCCCATTGTAGTCTGCACCGCTTTTAACAACTTCGGTTTCTCTGCATTCTCATATTAAAGAATGTAGTAACATATTACTATTTTTAAACTAGAAATGAAAGATTTGGTTCAGAATTGTGAATAAGGCCCCAGAAACATCCCGGGGCTTTGCCTTTTTGGATCCCTTGGCTTCTTTTCTAAGCCACCAAACTCTTTTTATTCCCTCAGACATCTATTTCAGATGTAGTCATTTATAGCTTGAGCCTTATGTTTGGGGACTGCATCTAAATGTTTCCCAAACATTGAGTCTCAGGACGAATTTGAGAATCCGTTCACTCAAGCCTTTTCTGCAGATGATATTCCATTGTTTGTGAAAACGTGGTCCACCTATTTACTCCCCTCCAGAGTGCTTATTAATAGAGTCACGGCGGGCATTGGACACAGTGGTTAACCTGCTGTTCAGGCCACCTGCAGTCCTTATTGAATTTGAGTCCCAGCTCTTTCCAATCCCAGCTTTCTGCTAGCACACATCCTGGAAGGCAGAAGGTCATGACTCAAAGTCAGTGCCATCCACGTGAAAGACTCAAATAGGGTTTGAGCTCCTGGTTTGGCCTGGCCCTGACCTGGTTTTTGTGGCATTTGGGGATCAAAGTAGCAGATGGGAGATCTCCTTTTCTGTCTTTCAAGTAAGTTAAAATGAATTTTTAAAAATGTTTTAGGGCCCAGCATAGTAGCCTAGTGGCTAAAGTCATTGCCTTGCATGCGCCAGAATCCCAAAGGGCACCAGTTCTAATCCCAGCTGCCCTGCTTCCCATCCAGCTCCCTGCTAGTGGTCTGGGAAATCAGTAGAGGACGGCCCAAAGCCTTGGGACCCTGTACCACATGGGATACCCAGAAGAGACTCCTGGTTCCTGGCTTCAGATTGGTTCAGTTGCAGCCGTTGGGGTTGTGTGAGGAATGATTTAGTGGAGGAAAGATCTTCCTCTCTGTCCCTCCTCCTCCTCTGTATATCTGATCATCCAATTCAAAAAATGTTTTTAATGCACAGTCCTAGGACTTAACTAAGTCTGAACCTCTAAGATGGCTCTTGGCAGTCAACAGCAATGATTGGCTCTCGTAGGTGCAGCCCACCGTGTGAGAACCACTGTGTCAAACTCCGAGGAGGAGACTAAGTGGTGGGGGCGGGGAGGTTGGAGAAACAACTGAAGTGGAAGTGAATCTGAATGCCGAGTTAGTGACGAGAAGCTGGTCTGGGTTTCTTCCCCCACTTTGAACTGGGGATCCTCGGAAGAGCCACTTGCACACAGGAACTCCTAGTACAGGAATTTCTGGGGCAGGAGTAAGCCACAGGGAAGCTCTCACCAAGAGGTGGACTTGCCCTTGGATACCTTTGGGAAAATAAAGCTTTTTGTCTTGGTATAGGAAAGGTAGTGAGGGGCCGCCAATTTCTGGGTCGGCTGCCATCTAAAGATAGACACCAGCCTGTCAGGCATTGCCTGGAATTGCTTCTGCGTTGCCATGGCTACAGGCTTGCTAGAACGGAACTGCTCCTCTGCTCTTTGGACCAGTCTGGCACTCGGGTGGAGCTCATCACACTCTCCTGCCATGACAGCTTCATTACCTGGAACCTGATTTTTGCATAACTTACCCAACTTGTAAAGTTAAGCCTTTGAGTCAGACCTGTGTTCAAGTGTTAGTTCTGCCTTTTAGCTATGAGCCCATATCTCTGTTCACAGAGTGGAGGATGTTAAGGGGCGGGCATGCAGTCACCACTCCAAGGGCCATGTGCCCCACCTGTTCCCTCAGCTAACAGAGGTGCTATAAAGCAAGCCGGCTCCTCCCTGGGTTTCCTGGGTAACTGATGCTTGTATGTCCAAGAGGGAACCGCAGTGTAGGCAGTTGGCTATTCTTATCCAGCTCCAATAAGCGATTCCCATTAGTTAAAAATAGAAATGGTACAGTTGGGGGAAGTGGGGCTGTAGGCAGAACATTAACTGTCACAGAGGACTAACTACTGGTCTGTTTTTTCCTTGGGAACGTGGTACCTCTCTGTGCACAGCTTCAGTCTTGGGAAAGTTTTGAACACATCACTGGTAAAAATCCACCCATCCCTCGTAGCATCTAAGCTACTGACAGACAAGCTGCAGGAGAGAGTGTGTAGGGGAAAAAGTGTGTGATTGTCCCGGGCTTAGACTCAGGACTCAGGGTCTTCACAGGTCCAGCTCCGTTTCTTCCTTCAATGTGCCTCTGGAAGCCTCCCATGTCATGTGAGCCGGCGTGATGCAGTGTGGTCAAGAGTGTATTTGCATGTTGGTTAGTGGTTCTGGCCCGGTGGCAGGCAGGGTCTGGAAGCTCGGCCTCAGCCGCAGTCTGTTTTTCCATCAATCTTGACTGCTGCTGTTTTTCACGTTTTGTGCAGATCTGGAGCCCCTATAAGCAGCCAGGGTGTACCGGAGACCTGGATGGTCGGATCGAAGATGACTCTCGCTGCCTCTATACCCACGAAGAGTACATCAGCCTAGTGCTGAACAGCGGGAGTGGCCTGTCGCACGACTACGCCAACCAGTCGGTGCAGGAGGACCCGCGCATGATGGCCTTCTTCGACTCCCTGGTACGCCGGGAGATCGAGGGCTGGAGCTCCGACTCGGACAGCGACCTCAGCGAGAGCACCATCCTGCAGCTACACGCTGGGGTCAGCGAGCGCTCCGGCTACACCGACTCCGAGTCTTCGGCCTCACTGCCCCACTCCCCACCTCCCACAGTAGATGAGTCTGCCGACAACGCCTTCCACCTGGGGTCCCTGCGGGTCCCTGCCACCAACGCAGTGGCTTCTACTCCGCCGACCTCCACGTGTGAGGATGCGGCCTCACGCCAGCAGCGCCTGTCTGCCCTGCGGCGCTACCAGGACAAGCGCCTCCTGGCCCTTTCCAACGAGTCCGACTCTGAAGAGAACGCCTGCGAGGTTGAACTGGATACAGACCTCTTCCCTCGGCCCCGCTCACCCAGCCCCGAGGACGAGTCCAGCAGCTCCAGCAGCTCCAGCAGCAGCTCCGAGGATGAGGAGGAGCTGAATGAGCGCCGGGCCTCCACCCGGCAGCGGAACGCCATGCGACGCCGGCAGAAGACAGTGCGGGAGGAGAGGCCCGGGGCTGCTGTCAAGCCCACGGCCACGTACATCGGAGAAGACAACTACGATTACCCCCAGATCAAAGTGGATGACCTCTCTTCCTCCCCCGCCTCCTCCCCTGAGCGGGGCACGGCCACTCTGGAGGGCCAGCAGAGCCGTACGTCCCCAACCTCTGACATGGAGTCCGTGGAGAGAAAGATCTACAAAGCTTACAAGTGGCTCCGCTATTCCTACATCTCTTACTCAAATAACAAAGATGGAGAACCGTCCCTGGGAGTGGGGGAGGCTGAAGAAGGGAGAGCGGGAACCAGCCACAGCAAGGACAACCCAGCCCCTTCTTCCAGTAAAGATGCCTGCCTGCCTTCAGCCCTGGCCCAGAGGAACCAGGACCTGCCGCCTGAAGGCTGCAGCAAGGATGTCTGTAAGGAGGGGACTTTGAGAAATCCCAGCAGCAGCCCAGGCCACGAGCACAGCGGCCCTCCTTGTGCCGAGGCACAGGAGGGCACCTCCCAGGACACCACCAACAGTGGTGCTGTAGAACACACTTTTGAATCCAAGAAGCTCAATGGGAAGGCCCTGAGCAAGGCCCTGAGCAGCCGGGCCGAGGAGCCGTCCTCTCCTCCTGTCCCCAAAACATCGGGCTCCAATCTGAGCAGTGGGCCTGGCAGCTGTGCTAGGACCCAGCCTGACGACAGTGAGGACAGGAGTCTCGACACCATCTGTGCCAACCACAACAATGGCTGCTTACACCCCAGGCTCCCTCACCCCCACAACAACGGGCAGAACCTGGGGGAGCTGGAGGTCGCAGCCTACGCTTCCCCGGGACATTCAGACACTGACCGTGATAACTCGTCCCTGGCAGGCACGCTCCTACACAAAGATTGTTGTGGGTCTGAAATGGCCTGCGAAACCCCCAGTGCTGGAATGAAAGAGGACCCCTGTGACCCCGCAGCCCCAGACGGCAGCAGGGCTGTTCATGGCCACAGTGGCCTGAAAAGGCACCGAATTGAATTGGAAGATACAGATTCAGAGAATTCCTCCTCAGAGAAGAAATTAAAAACATGACAAACATAAAGGGAAGACAAAAAGCTACAAAGAGTAGCCTTATTAAAAAAAAATGTCTTGTTTAGTGAACACAGAGGAAAGGAAAAAAAAAAGTATTAAAGGCACATAAAACCAGGGCCTGAAATGTTGTGTCTAATGCTGCTCCCTTCTCTTGAACCTTCAGCAGTGGGTCTGAGTGTCTAGCTAGCCACTGCCTTGTGCTGAGACGGGGAGGGGGGAAACTCAAGCGACTCCTCTCTGGTGAGGTCGGCAAAGTGTCCCTGTGCAAGTGGATTGACCTGATCTTGTGTGTGTGTGAGGTCATTTGATAAGACCTTTCTTTTAGTCGGTCACCAACAAGCACCTGGGGGTCTGTGTTTTTTTTGGCCATTTGCCCTGTTCACATGCCGTAGGTGTTCTATTGTAACACAGCCTGTTAAAGCAGGCTGTGGTGCTAGTGAGCTGTAAGTAGCTGCAGCAAAGATGCTGAGGAGAGAACGGCGAGTGGCCTGCAAGCCCCACTTGCTGTGCTGGAGAGGAAAGCATGGTTCCTTTTTAAGGAAGACTTCCACGCTTTCTCTGAGTAATACTTCCTCACTAAGCGTTTAATGTGGACACACTACAAGCAGAGCATATTCAATGCTGATGAGAGGTTAGCACTCAAGAACAGATTAAGACAGTAAAGATCCCTAATCAGTTTCCTTGTTTGCAAATCAAGCCGTGTACAACATGTACTGGTTGGAGGGCATACAATATGACTATTTGTGGATGACACACTAACCGGTTAGGTGCTAGTTCCTGTGAGCCAGCAGGTGCTTCTTGGGCAGCACGTAATGACGTCTAGGCATACTGAAAGATGGGGAAAGGCTCAGGAGCTTTTGCGCTCAGACTACTAGAGCAGACGTAGGTATGTGAACAGAATGTGGTACTGTGTTCATTTAATTCAACCAAACACCGTCGGTCATTGTTGTTGGGACTGGCATCTTCCCTCAGGCCGGCAGTGTCCGGGCTGAACTTCACAGAGCAGTTGGCATCTCCAGGTGGCAGAGTCTTACTGAGTAGGTCTGTTAGGAGGCAGAGAGGAAATGAGGAGAGGAGTTTTCTGCCTTAAAACGCCTGAAATTCGGAAGAGACCCATCTCATTGAGAAAAGGCCAGGTGATTTTCAGCTGCCATGGTGGTTATAGTTATGAACTGAGGGTAGTGCCAGACAAGAAGACCTAGGGATGGCCAGGTATCACTGGTGAAAAATGAAGGGGAGAGGGAGAACAGAGCCACTTTTATTTGGAGCACAAAGATGCTAGACAATGGTAGAGTGTAGCTGGGATTGGCACAGGGAGAGCCTAGTACAAGGCTGTTGTATCCCGGGTTTGCCAGCCTGCCTTTTGGCAGGTTGAGGACCTTGTCCCTCCTGGGCCTGGGACCTAAGGATGACAACCCGTGGATATTGGAGGCGTGCAGGAATCCAGGTGCTAGGGGAGGGCTTCCTCAGGAAAGGAAGGTGGTAGAGGGAAGCCACAAGCGGATGACATCTTGCTGAGCTCCGCGGAAGGGACCCTGAGTGTGCCTGGTATGTGTGATGCAGCTGGGGTGTGAACACGCTGTGGGCACATACAATGAACACGCGGACCCTTCCCGGGGACCGGGAAAGTGATTGTGTAACCAACTGCAGAATTCCTTTGGATTTGTAATCAAAATGGTTCTATGATTTTTTTTTGTCTTTGACTATTCACAGATAATTGTAAATTCTGGTTTTATAAGCCCAAGTCATTTTACATCTGCTTTTCCAAAAATGTATTAAATTGGAATTTTTAACCCTTTATACACAAGAAAAGATATACTCACTCAGTGTGTGTTTCTCTTCCCCTTCTTAGTCTACCCAGCCCCCTATCATCAGCGGATAGCCTCTTGTGACTTCACTGAGGACAGTCCTTCTCTCTTTTTGGAGGAAGAGACGTAGTTAAGTTCCTTGCAGCACCAGCTGCTGCGTTGCAATCGTTCCCAAATACAGAACTCAGTCTTTGTGTTGGAAATCTGGACCTGATTTGGGCACAGAGTTCATTCTGGTTAACTTGAGAAACCAAGAAAGGTCACTTTTAGTAAGGAAGGATGCCTTCCATGATTTGGAGACTCCTTTGCAACCCAGAATCAGCTCATTGGGAGCAGGGCCCCACAGGAACCCCAAGGACAGGCAGAGACATGCACGTTTCTGTTGCCACTTCACTCATGTCACTCATGGCCCTGAAAGTCCAGCAGATGCCATGCCTGGCTCCCTCTGCTTGAATTCTTGTAGATTGGGGCACAGTTAAACTCCATTCTTCTCTAGAAGTATTTTTACCAACAGATTTACAAAAGAGCAGCTGGCACGGATGAGATTCAGGGCCTTTTGGAAGGTGGGAGTGCCTCTTTTCCCTACATTGTGTACAGCCGAAGTGGCAAGTCGAAAGATGTGTGACTGTTCCTCTCTGTGTTCTACTGGGTGTGGTGATTCTCCGCGGCAGCTGGGTAAAGAAGTGAGCCGCTGACTCGAGGTAGGTGAAATTGGCCACTGTGCTTGGTTTAGGGAGCCAAGCGTGTGTCTTGTCTATCAATCCAGGTGCCTTCCTCCACTGAGGCCTCACCTTCCACTCCCTCCCCACCCCTGCCCCTCTCTCCCTGGTGTCTGCAATGAACCTTCTATGCACTTCTCAACGTCTTCCAGGGAAGACCTGGTTGCCTAGACATCCCTCCTCCTGTTGCTCATTTTAGTCCTTGCCTTGTCGAGCCTCTGATTCAAAGTTGAAGACAATGGTGTTTATGACTTCCACGTGTTGCAACAACACCCTTGGCAGCCAGTTGTGAGGTAGGAGGCCACATCTGCTTGGTTTCCTCCCCAAGCTTACATGTTACTGACACCTCCAGCATACATAGCACACTATGTTTTCTGATGTTTCCAAATACCAAATTGCTTTCCCTTCCCTGTCTCAGGTATGAATTGCAGAATTTTTTTTCTTGAAACGAGAAGTAAAACTCATATCCTTCCTCCTCCGGTTCATGGAAATTTCTTGACAACCAAGACTCCCATCAGGAAAACCAGCACTAATGTAAAAATGCAGACCTTCCCTCCGGACCTCTCAGCAAAGCGTGTCAGGGTTGAATTGCCAAGGTGGGGAGGAAGGCTCAGTGAGCCAGAGTGCCCACAGTAGCAGGGTGGCAGTTTCCCTTGGGTCACTGGCCTTGAGCTTGTACTGGAATGAAATACCATGAAATCGAGGAACTTGAAAGTAATTTTCAATCTCTTTAAGAGTGCTTCTCACATGCAAGGGAAGAGTCTCCATGAGAAGCAAGTGCAATCCTTTGCATGCTAGCTGATTGCCTGGTCAATGTGGAGGACGGAAGACGCCTCCAGGAATGGGTGCTTAGAGGCCAAACTCTTACCTGTCAGGGACAGCCAGCTTCTACTACACTGGCAGATGATCGCATCATAGGGGAATGATACATTTCTCAAGTGGAGAAATGGCTCCTTTCGTAGCCACCAAGTCCTGAGCTTGGGAAATATTACAGCAGACATCCAGAATGCTAACATAGGCCTATCTCTTTGTGGCTGGTAGTACTCAGCAAAACTACGGAAAGGCAATAAAACACCCAGATGCCAGCCCAGAATTCTGAGGCATCAAAGAAGTTCATGTCATCTATGGAAGCTGGACAGGAAGACATTTGGGAGCAGAAGATGAAGACTTTGCAGTGGGAAAAAGGAGTGAGAGGTGGGTTCATCAGCTTCCTGGACCATAGAGGCAGCATTCGGGGTGCTACCACACTGCTGTCTAGAAACATGTCACCAGAACTTCCAACCAAAATCCCCAGATGTAACAAGTTTAAAAAAAAGCATCAGTTTGGGTAAAAATCTCTTGGCAAATGACCTTATTAGGAGGTATAAACCCCAGGCTGGCATAATAGCTCAATGGGTAAATCCTTGCTTTGCTGTACTGGAATCCCATCTAGGCACCATTTCATGTCCCAACTGCTCTACTTCCCGTCCAACTGCTTGCTTGTGGCCTGCGAAAGCAGCAGGGGATGACTCCACCTTGGGACCTTCCACCTATGTGGGAGACCTGGAAGAAGCTCCTGGTTCCTGACTCTGGATCAGCTCAGCTCTGGCTGTGGTAGCCACCTAGAGAGAGAAACAGCAGAAGGAAGATTGATTTCTCTGTCTCTCCTTCCCTCTGTAAATCTGACTTTCATATAAAAATAAATAAATCTTAAATGGAGTTCAGACTATTACTTTCCTCTCCATGACATCAAGTACTCAAGTGCTCAAGTACTTGGGGGTCCTGCCACCCACATGGAAGACCCCGAAGGAATTTTTAGTCTTGCTTCGTCCTGGCTTTTGTGGCCATTTGGAGAATGAGTCGGTGAATACAATATACTTCTTCCCCGCTCCTCCCTTTCTATCATTCTAATTTTTAATTTTTAAAAATTGAACATATAGGGCCCGGCGTGGTGGCGCAAGTGGTTAAGTTCCTCACCTTGCACGCCCGGGATCCCATAATGGGCGCCAGTTCTAATCCCGGCAGCCCCGCTTCCCATCCAACTTCCTGCCTATGGCCTGGGAAAGCAGTCGAGGACGGCCCAAAGCCTTGGGACCCTGCACCCGCGTGGGAGACCCGGAAGAGGCTCCTGGCTCTGGATCGGCATAGCATCGGCAGTTGTGCTCACTTGGGGAGTGAATCATCGGACGGAAGATCTTCCTCTCTGTCTCTCCTCTCTGTATATCCGCCTTTCAATGAAAAAATAATGAAAATAAATCTTTAAAAAAAAAAAACAAGATGTATTGATTTGAAAGGAAGGGTTAAAGAGAGAAGCAACGACAGAGATGGAGATCTTCCTCCCACTGGTTCAGTCCCTAGATGTCTGCAACATTCAGGGCTGGGCCAGCAGCCAGGGAACTCCATCCGGGTCACTCGTAAGGAAGGGTTGGCAGGGACCCAAGCACCCGGCTCATGCTCCGTTGCCTTCCCAGGTGCTTTAGCAGGCAGCTGGATTGGATGTGGGGCTGCTGAGCCTGTAGCTGGTGCTCCAATGTGGGAAGCTGGCCTTGCAAAAGGCAGCTGAATCCACAGTAGAATCCTGGCTGCAGAAGAAGCATTTTTTAAAATCAACACATGAAACAGAACGCACATTCTGTGTAATAAATACGTCACCTACCTGAGTGCAATAAGGACAGGGAGGGATACATAACAGACTAAGGAAATGAGGATCACGCAAAACACGGCAAGTGAATGTTCCTCCTGAAACTGATCATGGAAACGACAAGAATGCGTGTCAACTGATGAGTGGATGAATGAAGCCAGGTGTCTGGGGCACCTTGCGGCCACACAAAGCGATGGAGTGTGGATTCAAGCTGCAACATGGTGGACTTTGAAAACATTATTCTCTGTAGGCGAAGTCAGGCACACGGGCCACACAGTACATGGTCAATTTCTATGAAATGTCCAGAACTGGAAAATGTACAGACAGAGGTAGATAAGGGTGACTGGGATGAGAAGGGTTGGGGGGATTAGGGGTGCGGCAGGGATGGGGTGAATGCTAATGGAGTTCTTTCAGGGGAGATAAAATGTGTTAAACCTGTATCTGTGGTTATCAACTCAGTAAATATACTAAAAAACAAAAAAAGAAACAAAAAAAATGACCTGTATGTATATTGAATATGGGTGAAATGTATGGAGTACAAGTCGTATTGCAAGGCAGACAGACATCGAAATAAAAAACAAAAGAATAGAAAAGAAAAATAATCTGGGTCCAGTGCAGTAGGGTGGCTAAATCCTTTCCTTGCATGTGCTGGGATCCCATATGAGTGCTGGTTTGTGTCCCAGCTGCTCCAGTGCCCTTCCAGCTCCCTGCCTATGGCCTGGGAAATCAGTCAAGAATGGCCCAAATTGGGACCCTGCACCCACATGGGAGACCCAGAAGAAGCTCCTGGCTTCAGATTGGCTCAGTTCTGGCCCTGGTGGCCACTGGGGGAGTGAACTAGAGGATGGAAGATCTTTGTCTTAAATTCTCTCTGTAAATCTGAATTTCCAATAAAATTAAATAAATCTTAAAAAAAAAAAACCTGAAAAACATGCATCTGGTGTAGCAGTTAATATGCTCTCAGCTTGAAGTGCCTGGGTTGGAATCCCAGCTCTGCGCGTTTGTCCAGCTCCCTGCTCCCCTGAGAGGCAGCAGGTGATGGTGCAAGTAGCTGGGCTCCTGCCATCCATATGTGACACCTGGCTGGAGTTCCAGTTCCCAGCTTCAGCCCTGGCCCTGTCGCAGCCATGTTGGACATTTGGGGAGTGAGCCAGCAGATCTCATTCTCTCTCTCTCTCTCTTTCTCTCTCTACCACTCCCTCTCCCTCTTAAAATAATGGAGCAGGAGAGGCTGCTCATGCGAGTGGCCCCTGGCTGCTTCCTCTTTGTGCTTCTGGTTTCGCAGGGGAACCGGCTGAGAGAGGTTCACCTGCCGTAACCCTGCCTGCGGGCCCTTGCCGTCCTCCCACCGCCGGTGCACCCTTGCTTCTGCCCCCATCTAGCGTGGTAACTCAGCACTGGCCAAGACCCGTCAGGCACTGTCTCAGAGCTGACTCCATAAAAGGGCTGACCAACCACTTCTGCTCCCAGCTCCCAGACCACTTCCTCCGCCTCATGAAGTTGCTAGCCACCGAGCTGCCAGAGGCGTTCCTCAACAAGGAAGCTGCAGGGGCCGCACAGGTCCTGGCTTGGGTTGGGGGTTCCTGTCCACATCCCAGCAGCTTACAGCTTACTACCCGTGTATGTTTCCTGCATGGCTTCGTCTGTGTTGAC